AAAAAAAAATGAAAAAAAAAAAAAAAAAAAAAAAAAAAAAAAAAAAAAAAAAAAAAAAAAAAAAAAACCACATAATAGTAAAACCAATACCTTCTCAGCTTCGCATCGAAGCTAAAAAGAAACTATAATGTAATTAAAGATAATAAATATTTATATTTTGATGATGAAACAATTTTGTCATTATCATGTTACTTTTATTGTCTTTGTAAAGCCATTAATATTACAATAAAATGTTGGCATTGTATCCTACCTAACAGCAACTTATGTTTTGGGAATAATGTGACCTCGTAGCTTAAATTTTTTCTTAAGACGACCATATCCGGTGTGTGATTAGTGCAATTGTGTGCACTATGACGAATAAGCTACAAGATCATTTATCTTTTACCAGTTTATTCAATAAAAATTTTTAGTTTATAAATTTCTATAAAAATATTCACTATGATATTTTTGGTTTTTATAAAGTCGAATTGTGTAACACTTCTATAATCTTAGAAAAATGGTGTCTTAGTAATTACAAATTATTGAGAACGATGGAAATTAAAAAAGGAAACAAAATCTAACTACAATTGTTCCAAAGTTTTTTTTATTTTTAATTTTCTGTACTGTTTGTCAATTAATTTATATAAATTTTACATAAAATATTTGTAATAAATTTTAAATACATTTTCCAACATCAATTTTAGTACACACATTTGATGTAAACATAAATAGTATAATAATTAAATATATACATTAACAATAATTATACATAATAATCCATTGAATTATTGACACTTATTTTTTGACATTTAATTTATAAAAACACCGTTAATTTTTGTTTTTATGTAACATAAATAACGAAAATATTACTTATTTTTAGTCATATATATATATAATTTTTTGAACAAAGCAAAATCTAAAATTTATATTAAATATGATTTACCAGTTTATTTTATAAAAATGTAGTATTAAAGATAACAAAACTTAAATGCGTTTTATAAAAAATAAAGTTATGCACTGTAATTATATATTTTTAATGTCCATATTTATTTTTGATGTTATTGCATAACAATTATTGTTCTGATATAATAGTTCAACACTCGTGGACAATACATAAAAATACCATCTAAATTGAATTTTTAAACTAAAACTTGTGTAGTACTCCATTCATATGTTAAATGTTGGGTTACTAATAATAATATTTAAAAAAATGAAATTACTGTTGCATTGAAACATCTATCCATTATTGTATGTTCTCGTGAGCAGAACAATAACGCACACATGTTATTGTAGTAATCATCATTGCATTATGACGCATCGTATGTTAATATCGTGTTCCAAAAAAAAAGAATCATAAATTAATTGCCCACGTTCACGGCGGGAAACGATAAATAGATTACACGTAAAATTTTTTTGGATGTTTTGCCGTCTGGTCATAAGTCGGTCAACTTTTAAAACAAGATATTTTCATCTATTTTAAATTATTTTTCACATAACAAAATTTATAGCATATTCCGCCTCCATTGGAAATATATCGGCTACAAGTTTTCAATTGACTTTAAACTTTCTCAGACCTTCGTTGTCCACACCTGACCCGAAATATAAGAAAGTGACTCACGCGAGCTGAACACCTTATAACGAGCAACTCCGGATAATGAAACCTAGAAACGTTGGTAAGGCAAAGACGACAACAAGTGGCATGGCATGTCACATATAATATCGTGGTCGTTATAATGTTATTTTATTATTTTATAAAGGTATGTGTGTTCGAAACAATGAGAATCATCTGTCTCGAGCAAATAGTGTTCTCCACAGAATATATTGAACGATCAATACATTGAAGGAAAAGAGTTGTAGACAATGATCATAACTTACGACCATAATGAGATCAAAACGTTAAAAATATTGATAATAACGTACTACTTATATTGATGAGCGGACAAGTACCAATTTATTTATAGTCTCTTATTATAGTAAACATGTAACAGTGTACAGATAAATGCGAATCATAGTCTAGTGAAACGGAAGTACCTGAAAGGTCACATTGGAGAACACATAACGAGCACACCGATCTCCAATACATTAAATAAGTAACGATAATGAAGTTAAACGTGAAAATTTGATTTATATACAAGGATTATATTTTATCTATTTTAATTGTATTGAAACAATGCAACTTGATAAGACTATTGATGTATTATATGTTTCATTATAAACGATATGGCACTTTTTTTGAATAATTTCATATGTTTGTGTAAAAATACATCAAATAAAAAAGATTTGATAATAAGTTTTAAACTGGTTTTAATACATATTGTAATTTTTCGAAAATTTTGTTAATATTTTTGATAAATATTTTTAGAGTTATTGGAAAAGTATTTAACACAACTTTAAAATTTGTATTATCTATCAATTAAATTCACGATCCAACACAAAATAAATTAAATTTTTTCATTTTTTATTCAAAGTTTAGTGGAAAGCTTAATTTTGAAATTAATCGGGAAAATATGCATGTTTAAATAAATAACAAACAACTCATTTTAAATGAACTAACTAAAATGTCCAAACTTCTCAATTTTACTTTAGGTATAATAAAACTCTCAATGTATAAATATAAAAAATTATTTATAAATATTGTTTAGGTTCCTAAATAAAAAATCGACGAAGGGGAAAATCGGGTGTTTATAAATTGTAATAAGAACAGTGGCGTATTTTGGGGGGGTGTCCTCCATGTCTGGACACCCCCGGACTTAAAAAAAATGCCTAATATATTGGTATTAACTTTTTTTTATAATATATTATATTTATTTACAATAAAATAAATGGTATTTTAAATAAATAACAAAATTGAAGATAATTTGATAGGATTCGACAACACTTATTTATCTACATTTTATCAGATATTTCTAGAAATTATTTGGATTTCATTGGGTCATTTAGATAACAAAAATACCCGTAGCAAAAATATAACAACAACGGAAATATTCTGAACTTGTAGTTCATTTTTAAATTTATTTTATAGTTTATCAGTTTAGAGAATTATAAACAAATAAGTTTAGTTACCCCTATTCAATANATAAGTTATAAGAACAAATAAGTTTAGTTACCCCTATTCAATATACCGCATTCATAAAAAATACAGAAAAGAATTTTTTATAATTAAAATAGTATTTAAAAAATAAACAAAAGTTATGAAATTCTTTATGAATCGTCATTTAGTAAAATTAAAATTAAGTTGTTAAGATAGTAGATAC